GTTGCTTAGATTTAAAACACCATAATGGCCCCATGCCACGGGAAATGTAAGTCTTATCCTTATTTTGCCAGAAGCTGGACGTAAGGGCTGTTTCCTGACAATTTCTATGTCAGTTCCACTATCTCTTCTGTCTCTACCATCATCATTAAGTCTCAGTTTAGTGGCACATGATTTGGGCAAAAGAAAACACCATTCCCTGTCAATCCAATGTCCTGTTCCACTCTGAGAGAGATGGGATAGTTACTCCTTTAAGAAGACTGCCTTTGCCAAAAACATTCTGTCTTCTTCTTCAACCTCATATATTTCTATTTATCAGTAACCAGTCAACTTAGAACAACAGGAAATTTCATGAAGAGGATCCTTGGAGAATCTAATAATATAGTCCTCAAAATATATTTTCTACTTTATATATGGTCCTATTCTTTAAATATGTGAAGCACAAAAATCTCTTAATCAGTAACTCTTGCCTATTTAATTTACATAATTATATAAAACTAAATTAATTATAACATAATGAGAGTTAAGATTTTGTATGGACACAAAAACAAAATTGATCTTTTTGGAATCAATATTAAAAGTGTATCATTTTGAGACTCAAAGTATTTTAGGTATAATTGAGAGCCTTACAATTAAAAATAACTAGAAGTTGTTACAATCATGGAAATATAGAGTTTTGCATGAGTTGTCTGAACTATTAAAGTCTCCAAAAGTAGATCATTTTTAGTCCAACATTAAAAAAAAATTCTGGGTGAATAACCTGAGGTTAAACATAATCAGATGATCTTTTTCCACAATACCTAATGAAATGAATAAAATGTGATAAAATAAATATAGCCAAAGGCAGCCAAGGAAAGGGTTATATATGCCATAAATTTGGAGATACAAAAATGGAGGCAGTGTTCTTATGTGATAAGTCAGAACCAAATTTTGCTTTTTTTAAATTAAAGATTTCTGGCTAAATACATTTAGTGTAATCCCATGTTTTGAGGGATTGGAGGAAATGGTGGGTTATATAACAATCATTTATAGAATGTACCTTTTCAGAACTTTCCAACCTCTTAGAATAAAAAAATTTCTGGAAGAAAAATGAAATAAAAAATATGTTTCACTAATACCTTAATATATAGAGAAATGTACTTAACATATACTTATACAAGGAAAAATTGTGGGAAAATCCATTGACAAGTAGAGCCCACACCAACACCAAAGATGCACAGAGGTTGGGCTTGCCATTTTCCAGGGGTGTGCACTGAAGAGTAGCAGGGCAAAGGTGAATATGCCACAGAAGGAGAGTGGACGGTGTACCTGGCTGACTGGAGTATGCTTTGGTATAGAATATTTAATGGATCTCAGGAGAAGAATTAGAATCTAGCCAGAGTCAAAGGGTATACTTAACCCTTCAAGTTCTTTCTTTCTCCCATCCTCTCATCCCAGGGCCATGGAAAAGTAGCACCCAGAGAAAAGTCTAGATGAACAAAAAAATATCAAAAGTTTTGTGAAAGAGTGACAAGAGAAATGCACCCACAATTATTCTAATTAAATAGAATATCTGTGCAGAATAGTCTACACCACATATAAGCAGTATAAAAATAATGACATGATAGCCATATAATCATTCTTTGGAAAATAAAATTGAGAAAAAAGGTAAAATAATATTGAATTTAACAAGTGGTTAAAGTAGATAAAAAATCCAGTTGAGGGGCAGGAGAATAAGCTAATCCCCATAAGTGAGTCATATGCAGAGGAGAATCAGTAGAGCATAAATATTTTCAAATGAATTACTCAAAGAGTTGACAAAATACAATGACGTGAAACTGGGAATTACAGAACTAAAGATTTTTTAAAAACTTGGAACAAAATATTGAATCTAATTAAATCTAGAACTAAGAGTATGTAACTGGAAGCAATAATGATTGCAAGACAGAAAATTAAGGTCATAAATCATGAAAAAAATAAGTAATAACAAGCACCAAAAATTAGGAGCTGAGAAGTGAAGCAGGAACAAATGTAATAACATCGATATTAACTGAATATTAATTTTGTATAATTAATATGTGCAAAGCACAATACTGTTCAGTTTCTCAACTGAGTAGTGGCTCAGGCTTATAATTCTAGGACTTTGGGAGGCTGACGCAGCACATTGCTTGAGCCCAGGAGTTAAGAGACCAGCCTGGGCATCATGGAAAAATCCCACTTCTACAAAAGATACAAAAATGTTAGCTGGGAATAGTGATGCATGCCTGCAGTCCCAGCTACTCAGGATGCTGAAATGGGAGGATCACCTAAGGCCGGGAAGGTCAAAGCTACAGTGAGCCATGATCAGGCCACTGCACTCTAGCCTGGGTGACAGAGTAAGACCCTGTCTCAAAAAATAATCATCATAATAATAAAAATCAATTTCTCAATGCATTATCTCATTAATCCTACAAACAACCTTATAACTACAATGTCTTTGCCTCGTTTTATAGATGGCAAAATTACTAAGAATGGTGATACTTAGTAATTTGCCCAAGAAAGTAAAAGACTAAGATTCAAATCCAAACAACCTGACACCAGCTTTTCTTCTTACTGATTGTTGGGTGACAATAACCTCATTCTGAATTATTATCACAGGTCTAATTTAATTATTTTGACTTTACTATGTTTCACCTAACTTCCTTTTAAAAAATAATACATAGGCATTTTTAGGAAAATAAAGTCTTTACATTAAAATACAAACAAAAAGGCATTATTATAAAGTCAGGTAGACGAATGGGGTGAAATGATGTTTTTGCTTAATCTTTAAGTCAATAAGTAACATTCTGAGAGCCAGAAAGCTCTCCTTAAATTATGTAAGGGTAGGCAGTACAAGGCTGCTAAAGCAGAGAGAAAATGCTTGCTAATGTTAGTGACAGCCAATTCATGGCAGAGCTGATATATATTTTTATAGAAATTAAAGACTTTTCAAGCTAAACATGCTTAATACAATTGCATACTTTGAGGAAGTAAAAATGATGGATTATGTAACTATCATTTATGAAATGTGCTTTTTAAAACTAAATTGATATAGTACATAGTCCTACTGAAATTTTCTTTGTCTTCTTAGTCAGTATTTTCCATTAAAACCTAGAGATTTCATCAATTAAACAAAAAGGTTCTTTGGGCAGTATTTGCTTGAACTTAGTTAACTGCACTTGTAATTTTTTATTTCAAACGAGCAAACAGTTAATTTTATTGCAGTATTAGAATACAAATATATGAATATATGTTCCCAAATGCAATTTTCCATTTTGAATAGAAATTTTAAAATAATGAACTCTGCAAAATTATGATTACATTATCCTTCGGCCAAGTTGTTTTATCAATTTTTTAAAAAATAATCAGAATGACTCTAAAATAGAAAAATGCTGAAAAAACAAAATTCTGGCTTGGGGAAAATTAGTAGGAAGGATTTTTAACAAAAACAAGTAAAAGTGACTGTTATGTCAACATTTTAAAAAATAATTTATATATAATCTTTATGAAACTGTGAAATACTTCAAATAAAAAATTTATTGACAGCTACCTACCAGTTTTTAATGAATTTTTAATCTTTCATTTCCTCTTCACTCCCAATATCTATATGCATGAACAATTACTGTTACCAATCTCTTAGGACAAGGAAGTTGATGAGCTTATCTTTAGCTCTCCTCCTGTATACAGTATTTAGTGGGTGCAGAGTTCCAAATTTGAAGGTCAAGATGATTTGAGAGGTTGTAAGACCAAAGAGAATGGGAAATAATTAAGATGGAAAATATTTTCAAAGCTGGACCATGGTTGTACTAGAAGCTAAGGGGTTGCTTATTTTATGGTATTTTGTATTGCTTTTCTTTCTCTCTTTTTTTTTTTGTTTGTTTTTGAGGTTTAATTTTTGTTTTTGAAAGTATGGTAAAATGCAAACATGAAAAACATCTTAAAATAGCAACCTAGCTTAAAAATATACAAATAAGAAATACAGCAAGCGCCTGAAAGAAATATCCAGCTAGATAAAACATGTTAAGACTAACATAGCAATTGCTTAAATAAATGAAAATTAAACAGTAGTATGTGTTTCTATACTATTTAGTACTCCTTTTGTTGTTTTCATTAAATGTGTTGACTTTGAAAATGAACCATTAGAATAAAAACACTGAAGGCACTGTTTGCAGGATTGAGACTCAAAAGGCTAAGTCAATGTTAAGAACAGGAATTTCTTCTTCTAATGTAGTACAAACTCAGGAATTTTAGCTTATGTAGTTTCTAAAATAGAACAAAAAGGACCTTTGTGATCAATGTAACTCTAAATGCAGGACAAGCACCTACAGTTGCAAACTGTCTCTAGTGTCCTGTTAGAGTACAGATTGCCAATTTAGTGTCCTTTTCTCTCTTCTTTTCGTTCTACTGGAGTTCAGATACAAGTAATATGAACTCTGTTGTCACCTATGACCTTTCCATAATGAAAAAAAGATTGGACTGTTATCTCTTGACTGTGAGACAATGTAAAGTTCGTCTGTAAAAGCCTTTTCAGTGATACTCAATTGTCCTAAGGCTGATAATCAGAGGTGTAAGGTAATTCTCAAAACAATGTACAGAAATTTATAGAAAAACGTAAACAACCAAGTTAGAAATAAACTAGCTCCAAAGAGGCTGTAGTTGAAATATCATTAATGCCTACAATTATTTTCATCCCTATTGTTTAGTTTACATTCTATAAACAATAAATTTTTTTCACACAAATCTATTTTTTTATTCAAGGTAATGAATGATAGCCACATACTTATGACTTTACTACAATAATATACTGTCCTATACTCTGCTAAATTTAAAGTGTTTGATTAAAATAGTAATGGCTTTCTCTATAAATTGTATAGTTTTACTTAAGCAAGGAAAGTTAACACTTGCCATTAAAACTGTTTGAATAGAAAAAAAAAATTCTCAAGTAGTCTATATTCTGAAACATTGGATATTTAAAAATATTAAACTTAATAAGTAGTTGTTTTTTCCCAGTAAACAGAATTTATTAGTAAGCAAAGTCAAACTGGCATTGCCCAAGGAGACAGTGCTATCAGAGCCTTCATGAGTGTAGAACCCGCCACTTGTCCAAGGGGCCGCGATTGGGAACATACTTGACTCCACAACCATCAGGGATGATGTGCTTTTTGGCCACCTTGTCTTCAAATTCGTCAGCATTAAACTTGGTGAAGCCCCACTTCTTGGAGATATGGATCTTCTGGCGTCCAGGGAACTTGAACTTGGCCCTGCGCAAGGCTTCAATCACGTGCTCCTTGTTCTGAAGCTTGGTGCGGATGGACATGATGACTTGACCAATGTGGACCCGGGCCACCGTACCCTGGGGTTTTCCAAAGGCACCTCTCATACCTGTCTGGAGCCTGTCAGCCCCAGCACAGGACAACATCTTGTTGATACGGATGACATGGAAGGGATGGAGCCGCACTCGGATGTGAAAGCCATCTCTGCCACAACTTTTCACCATGTACTTGTTGGCACAAATACGGGCGGCCTCCAGGGCTTCAGAAGACAGCTGCTCATATTCATCAGACACCATGTGGCCACAGAGTGGGAACTCATCCACTTTTGCTTTCTTTCGACCCAGGTCAAAGATGCGGATCTTGGCATCAGGAACCCCCCGGCAGAAACGAGATTTGGGGTATGGCTTGTTCTTACAATACCGATAACAACGAGCTGGACGGCGGCCCATGGCAACGCAGGAACCTCGGCAGTGCGTTGAAGTGAAAGCGTGCTCCCCGAACTGCGCTTGCGCGCGTCTTACGTGCGTTGCTCCTACTCGCGCGAGAACCATAGAGTCCTGAGGAACATGTGACCTCTCTCTATCACAACCTGTCAACCATAGATGCAGTGACACGTGGAGCCTCCATGCCTGCGTAACCTGATGCGCTTGAGGTAAGCCGAGAGGCAGCTGCGGGTAGACGCCCCTGAGCTGCTGGGCGAGGACTTGGGCCTCCCTCCAAAGGTGCAAGAGCCACTTCCTTCCTGCTGGCCATCTTGGGCTAGGAGCCCCTGCCTTCAGCTTTGCCTTAAGTATAAAAGAGGTAATTTCCAGGCAGGAGGATTGCTTGAGCTCAGTTCAAGACGAGCTTGGGCAATATAGTGAAACCCTGTCTCAAAAAAAAAAAAAAAAAAAAAAAATAAAAAAAAAAAAAAAAAAAAAAAATCAAATAGCTGGACATGGTGGCGCAAGCTTGAAGTCCCAGCTATTTGGGAGACTGAGGCGGGAGTGGAGACTGCAGTGAGCTGAGATCGTGCCATTGCACTCCAGCCACAGAGAAAGACTTTGTCTAAAGAAAAAAAACATTTCTAGAATTTGAGAAGAAAAATCCTTCCAGTTATTCAACAAACTGTTTGTAGTTTGGCCAATTCATTTTCCACATCTTGTATCTCACTGTCAGCATTTGTAGATCAATTGCTCTTTCTTGTAGTATGTGGCCACCTTCCCTGGATAAAGTGGCTTCTTGGCATGAGTGCTGTGATGAGACTCAGGAAGAGATGAGAGCCGGAGTGGAGAGAGGGATAAAGAGAAGATATCTGTTGTATCTATAGCTTGGCAATTGTTTTATAAACATGAAACTGTCTTCTTTATTTGGCCTAAAGAAATGATTTTATTATCAAAATGATATATACAAAATTGAAACATCAACTAGATTTTTTTAAACTATTTTCATTTTCAAATGTTAAAGCTGCTGAAACCATATAAAAGAGTAATAGTTTGCGCTTTAGTAATCTTTTGTCCCGTCCTGAGACTAAATTTAATCTTTTTTTTCCTTCTCAGAGTTTGTAAAAATATTATGACAGGAATCAGAGTGTAGGAAAGGAGGAAGAAGATAGAGGAAAAGAAATTAATAGTTTACAAACCCTACTTGAGTTTTTCTAGCTTTTTTTTTTTTAATGTTGTTTCACAAATTCATGACATCGTGGAACAAAATCACTCCAATGTGAATGTATTCTACCAATGCTTTTTCTTTAAGGGAGAAAAATAAGTTGTTACAAAGTAACTCCTGCCCTTAAAGTGAGTGGAGTTTTACAAAATACATAGGATAAAACAATTAAAACTCCCAATGTAGAAAACTTTCTCACCTTTAAGAAAGCTTGCATACCTCCCTTTTCTTCATTTCTTCTTTCCCCCTTTTCTCAACTAGTTTCTGTTTACTATATGCCTGAATATTGAGATAAAGTAGCTAACACTGTATTCCTCTCACCAAGCTTACAAGCCTAGGAGAAGATTTAGATGTTTCTCATATGTCATTATATTACAAAGTGTAAAATGTGCCAAAAAAGGAAAAGCAAGGTAAGCCCTGAGACCATGGGATGAGTCTAGGGATAAGACCTTGATCTAGATTGAGAAATGGAAAGGGAAAACTTTACCGGGGAAGCAATTTCATGTAGTGACTATGGGCACATGGGATCTGACATATGCAAGGTTTGAAGCAGGCAGAAATATGGAACATTTTAAAGAACTTAAAGTAAGGCCAATGTGACTATGAGTGAGAGGTTGAGTCACATAACATGAGCCCAGAGTGTGTGTGAGAGAGAGAGCTTTGTGGTCATGCATATCATACAGGGCCCATTTTACCAAGTTAGGAACCCTGATCTTTGATGCAAGGCCATTAATGAGCTTTGCATAGGTTTTATCACTCTGGTTATGGTATGGTGAATAGACTGAAACAAGCCTAAAAAATGTATGCAGGGAGATCAGAAAGGAAGCCTTTGCAATGCTGCAGAAAACACATCATAGCTTGAACATACTTTAAAATATTTGACTTTATATACAAGTTAGTATCTTTTTATACTACTACATGCCCTGAATCTATGATAGTGCCTAGGAGAGAGGTGTTGTGAGGCAAAAGGAAGACTCCCAGAGTTTATGTGCAATGACACACTCACACTTGCCTGATCTCCCACCTGACTAATGTTGCCAAAACCCTAGAATTCTCTGACCAGCAGATGCTGTGTTGCTGTCGGGGCCTGTCTGCATAAGTTTCTTTCTTTAATCCAAAGCTTACCAATCCTGGTTTGTCCAGGTCTGTACCAGTGTTAACACTGAAGTCCTGGGTCCTGCAAAACCCCTTAAAACCAAGCAAAGTGGGAGGGTTGGCCACTCTACTCCACTTATGCATGAGGCCCTTCACAGTTGCAGATTAGGAGGGTAGAATGAGAAAAGGGAGGGCCACCTTGGGATCCTCTATTTATACTCCTTTCTGGAGCTCTGCAGATATTAGAGGAAAGCCTGTGGGAAAATGCATTTAGTACCACCATTCTGTTCAAATATTACAAGCATTCCTCACAATCAATCCCAAAATTTTGAGTGTTTCCCTATCTCTCTACTCTTGCCATGCACAGCATATACCATGCTAAGCAAACTTTGCCAAAAACTATGTAAAACTTGTCTGCTTTGAAATATATAACTAAGGGAGACAGTAATATCATGGAAAATAGAGGTGGCTTAAAGAATGGGTAGAACATTCTCAAGTAGAGATATGGGATAAGGTAGGAATGAAGCAGAGCAACTACATAAGACCATTAAGGTGTATGAGGACAGAAGTATGTCTGGTCTCTATGGTTCATTGTTTTGTCCCCTGTTTTTGGGCATCAGTGTGGCCAGTAGCACAATGAATACATACACTAAGGAGGTGCATTGGGGTATTGATAAACATTTAACAACCTGCTCATAGTGGGGTTGGGAATTTGAGGAGAAATCCCTGATTTGTAGTGTTTGCTGACATTTTTGGTAGAAATACTCTCTCCGTCATCAGTTTCGAACATCAGTGTGATTTACCGAACACAAAGATGGGGAGAGATGTGCACAATCAGCTTCTGTAAGCCAGTGTTAGCCAGGTCCAGCATGCTGCCATTTGGTGTGTATACACAAGACAGAAAAGATAAACTTGTCTTGCTAATGCTAATAATGCATACCCAGTAATAATAAATTTTAGAATGATCAGGGAGAGATCTTTTTTAGGAGCCCTTAGAAAGTGGGCAGACATGAATGTTTCAACTTGATTCAGCTTCGACTGTAAAACAGTTTCCCTCCGTGGTTTCTCCCTCCTGTTCCACAACCCTTATGTAACAGGCCTGCCCTATTCTTTACTTACTGATTGTAAGTACTTTACTTATTGATTACTTACTTGTAATTAGCGCTAGACAGTGTGAGAAATACAATCAAATTCCAGGTATCCTCTGCTTTCATGCAAAGGCTGGAAAATAACAGTTCTGTGTATTAGTTCCACACAGCATTTACTTTCCTTTTTTTCGTAGCATCTTTCAAATGTTTCTAAACCTGACTTTGTTCTCAAAGAAGAACATGCACTGGAGTCTAATATGTTGAGTGGCACACACCATGGATGCCCTCTCCTGCTACAGGAGGCATCTGCATTGTTGATCATTCAGTCATTACATAGAGTACCATCACTGGGTGTTTTACAATATACTGTGATTCATAGATCATGTTTCACTTAGGCTCTCAATGAAGTATGAAGGCTCCACTGATGACTAACAGTCATTTTCATCTGCATTTCTTAGTAGCTTCACACTGGGGGGCTGTAATCTCAATGTTTTTGAGACTAGGTGAGCAATTTGACTGTCTATATACAGTATTCCTAGAGTTGGGTCATGAATATAAAAGAGTCCTGGCTATGACTGGCCTTTTCTTCAAAATCAGTGAATTGTGCCTATTGTCATGGCTGATGGGTGGTCATGCTGCCAGTCTCTCATGCACTTGATTCACAATGGTCTCTTATCTATTGACAAGAAAGCGTGCAAAAATGCACATATTTTTTAACAGAAATATAGTCAGATAAGTTTAACTGTTTAGCCCAGAGCCCTAATAAATTTCCTTTTTGACTGGTATTTTTGACATTCTTCTTTTTCTCTCTTTGGGAATCTTTTTTTTACTTTGGATATGGGAACTGAGCATGTACACTGGCCTTTGTGCTTTGTTTGTAGAGAATGAGTTCCCCCCAAATGAATGACTTTTGACATTGTTCCAGAAAGCTGAAAAAAAGTAGGAAAGAAATCAAGGAAAGGTGGCATACAAATATGCTTACTAAAATTTGGTTGATTTTTTTCCCTTATACTTTTTAAATTTACTTGTTTAGGTTTCATACTTGTACAAAATATATAAGCCATCAATTAGTTTTATGATGATAAATATTTAAGAAATGCTATCATAAAGATATTTTATATAATAAACAATTTGAATCAACATAGGACTCTACATCAGTTTTTGAAAGTCCTTTTCTCTTAAATTTGAGAAACACTGAACTGCTGTTGGGGTGCTGTGTATGAAATTTGCCTCCCACATATTGAAGGCATGGGCTTCCTATGCTTTAGAACCAAATTTCTGTCTATTAATTTAAAAAGCATAATGATGGGAGCAATGTTATTACTTCCCTTGCCCAGTTTACTTAGCAGTAGTTTGTGTGATTTACAAGGTTTACAGAAATGCGTGAAGCACATATTTATAAATATATACATTATTTAATCATTTATATCACAACAGCCAACTCTTTTTCAGGTTAAATTCATCTTGTACTTTTAATGGATGACTACTTTATCCATTAAACAGTTTTTTTTTTTTTTTTAATTTTAAAAGTGAGCAATCAGCTTTAGTAATTACATTATGGGTTATTTATTTATGAAACCACTAATTCCAGTTGATAAAGCACTTTGGAAAGCTTTTTAAAAAGCTTTGCTTCACTTATTTTTATAGAGGAATATTTGGTGCTCCCCAAATTCATATGTTGATATTCCAACCTCTAAGGTG